CAGATGACTTCCAGAGGTCCCTTCCAGCTTGAGTTTTTCTGTGAGACAGACTCTGGTCTTAGGTTCTTTTTAGTTGTTTATAACTTTCGTTCAAATTGATGTCATCCATTATTTTTATAAATAATACCCAAAATATTTGTATAAAAAATATTTCTTTAACAAGTGGGAAAGCCACAAGATATAGCTGAAATAAATACTTAGTCATGAATGGAAGTACATTTACTTTTTCTATGAATAGATAACAAGTCGTATTTGCTTCTTTTGGAGTAAGCATGCCAGTAGCGTGAACTATATTTATTGTCTCGGGTAGATTAGCGATTTACTGACATTGGAAGGAGTGTGCCGGGAACCATCTTATTTGGTGATTTTATATTTGATAGTGTTATATTTGGATTGTCTCCTTATAAAACTATTGGAATCAATAATAGTGTTCCAGAGCCACCAATTGCACAATATGAAGGAAGCAAGTTTGATTTCATTTATCCTCATCTTTGATTTGAGAGTCCTTCTGTTTGTGGGAGAAAGGAGCAATGAGCGTGAGTGCTATTTTTAGGGTAGTTGAAATAGTCCATTGGCACAGATGTTACAGTTTCCTAGGAGCCAGTTTATCTTTTAATATCTGTATGTCCTTTTAGTAACAGTGTCTTTATTCATTAGCGTTAGGCACCTAAGTAAGACAAAGATCTGTGTGTATCACTGATTCAAGAAATCTATATAAATATAGATGCTGGATGAGTTTACATTGTTAATTTTTATATAGGTAGGTATTTTTCTACATATATCAAGTGGATGTTTATGAGAAATGGAAAGAAAATATATCATCTAACTTCTCATGCCTCCCCTCTCCTATTTTTGTAATTATTTGCTTTTCAATATTTCCACAGTTGTTACTTCCGGAGCAGTTTGTTAATGGCTTATCAACATAGATACTATAGCTAACAAAAGCTAAATACAAGTTGTAGAATATTTGGTTTGTTTGCAGTAGAGATGCATTGTAATTGATGAATTAGAATAAATTTATCATTCAGAAATGCTTTTAGTGTCCCATAATAAATATAATAATGGCGTTTTCTAGTTAGTTTTTGTTTTCTTTTTTGCAATTTTATTTTACTTTGGTGTGTCTTTCTTTGTTTAAATTAAATAGGCAGACCAAACAATAAGTGGTATGAAAGTTTCTCCACATAGCTATACATGGCATTTGAGTCCTGACACCTCATGTTCAATGTGCCACTGATCGCACTGCCAACTTGGGGCATAATTAATAGATGGATAAAGACTACTCTTTCTCTTCCTGTGGACAGCACTTCAACACAATCTTTGCAGGAAAAGTTGGAGCTCATGCTTTCTATAATTGATAACGTTCAACTAACTTGCAGATATTTTATGTGTTTTAAAGATTAAGTGCTCGATTAATTTATTTCAGAGGAGCAGTAGCCTTGCTAAGCATACAATATAATCCATTTGCATGCATATCAATTTTGTTGTATTTTAAAGGAGTACTAGGTACTTAGATTTTTTTTAATTACTATTTTTTCTAGTGAGAAGATTATTGACCAATGATATCCTAGTTCAGATTTTTCCACTGCATGACAGAGAAGAGTTGAAAAAGCTCCGGCATAGCTGGTTTGGTCGAGTCAAAATTGGTTATCAACCTTTAGGTACGTGAACACTTAACTCCACTGCAAATAAAATGCAAAGTTTGATTGTGGAGAATTTTTCTCTTCAGTTTCTGTGAGAAGGCCGAAAGCCCTTCCCAACTTCTACTACAGCACTTAGCCACTAGGGAAGTGACACTCCTATGTGGAAGGTAAGTATTGTTCCAAGAGGTCTGTTGCCTGTTGTTTCACTAAGAGTGCACCTTGTCACATCAGCTTATCAATTGCAGCTCAGCACCTCTAATATCAGCTTTCTGCAGCAAGTTGCTTTATTGGTAATTGTGAACTAAAATATTTGTTATTTCACCTAGCCTTGCTGTTACTGTTTACACAACAATTGATCCACTCAGCTGGTCTTACCATTTATCTAAGACAAAGGCTATCCTCTGGTCCCCTTTATGTTGAAATAAATTCAGCTTTCTTTGCTTTTCTGTGGCCAGTCGCTTACTACATTCTCTGAGTTCCATGGGCACATTGCTCCTCTGAGCTGCCTTCTTTTATGGGGGCTAATTGGTCTGTCTCAGTGAGGCAGGTTTTCTCTCCATCAGCCTTCCTAGTGTAATTCTCTGAAGCGGTTCAAGACTTGTGAAGTTGATGGCTCAGAGTCTGCAGATTAAGTGTCTGTAAGCTTCCTTTTTCGCAACAGCCTGCACATAACAGAGTCTTCCTTCCATCAGTGTTTACAACTATTTGAGTTAGATTCATTGTCTTCATGAAAGCTGTGTATTATTGTCTGTCGCTTACACTTGAGTGTATTTTGCACACTAAATAAGCTTAAAATGAAAACTAGTTTTAGTCTGGCAGTGCAAAGAGTTAAGTTCTGGATTCTGAAATTGTACGCTTTACCTAAAAATAAGAAAACAGAGATTTGGGAGTTTACCTGATTTTTTTTATCTCTTGGTCCAGCAGTTACTTGAGACCTTTTCCTCAGCTATAGAAAGTTAAAGATCTGGCTCGGTAATGCCCTGCTTCCAGAGTAATTGATTACAGGCTCTTACTGTTGTGCTTTTTTCTTATTTATACAGGAGAGTTTGTTTGACTGGCATTGAATACACATGAAATTTCAAAGTAAATCCCAAGATCCTTGTTACACCTGCTCTAATTTAGGGATCTCTTTCATGTGGTGCCTTTGGGGTGTGAAATGATGCTAATGGCTGACGCCTATTTAATCAAAGATTTATTATTAAATAAGTTTGAGAGGGATGTTGGAGTGCTGATTCTTCTCTCTGTTTGCCTTTCCATCTTGCCTTCGGAGACTTAAGTGATTGGCAATTATGAACTTCTACTGCTTTGTTTCACAAACCATATTATACCGTAAGAATATTCTGGTATTGCACATGAGCTTTTATGTGCTAGCATTTTGTGGAGACTATTAGTAGTGTCAATTCAGAGGTCATCATGCCATGGCTGTTTTATTGCATGGGGGAATATGTAGTAGCAGCCTACAAGCATAAATCATCTGATTTTCCAAGGAGGCAAAGGTAAATAGATGTCAATATTCTAAATTTTGGTTTGCTAGGCATTCCTATGTCTTACGTGGTGTCACTTCTAGATAATGATGGATTATGCTCCTACAGTTTTTTAGTAGTAAAATTCTTCCTTAGAAATAATGAATCCATCGTGAGGTATATCCATTAGTAGTGCACTTTCCAGCTCTTCAGAATACCTGAGCAGACGACCTGAGAGACTACAGCGAGTATGCGTTTCGTTATCAGTCGTCAGCTAGAAGCGCACCCAGGCTGACATTCTCTATCGGACTTGTTTTTGACGTCTGAATTCTGTATGCCTTTCCATCTCTTCCTTTATTTCACTGAGGCCTGGCAAAGCACAATTAGTCCTTCTGACCCTGAACAAGCTGAGAGAAATTTGATTCCCAGGTCTGCTTATAATAATGAGAAGCTTCAAAAGTCAGATGTCATTCCCTCTTAAAGTTTGGTATCTATCTAGTTATTCATTAACAGATTCTGTTTTCAAGAATACTAGTGCTTTTCTCTGGATATTTCGTGCTGGTATTGCAGGTATTGGGATATTTGACTTCCCTACTGCCAGTGTGTGTGTGTGTAATATATATACACATGCACGTGTGTGCACACACATTTAATTTGAATAACCGTTCTGGGTTTTTGGAACATGGGAGAAGGAGGAATAAAAAAGCGATAATATTGGTTGTAATATTTAGAGAACTGAAGTTTGGGCCATGGACTTCACGTGAAGTCAAGTTTGATATGCTGACATCTGTGTTAAGTATAGGCTTATTTGCTTTGTTTTTTCTCTGCAGATGAAATACGCTGCTACTTTGGTGAAACCATTGCTCTCTACTTTGGCTTCTTGGAATACTTCACATTTGCTTTGATTCCAATGGCTGTCATTGGGATTCCTTATTATATGTTTGCTTGGGAAGACTATGACAAATATGTAATGTTTGCGATGTTCAATCTGCTCTGGTCCACTGTGATTCTGGAAGTTTGGAAGCGATTTTGCGCCGTGATGACATACCGTTGGGGGACCCTGTTGATGAAGCGGCAGTTTGAAGAACCAAGGCCAGGGTTTCATGGTGTTCTGGGTATTAATCCTGTCACTGGGAGGGAAGAACCAGTGTATTCCAGTATTAGAAGACAGATACGAATTTATCTGGTATCCTTGCCGTTTGTGTGCCTTTGCCTCTACGTCTCATTCTATGTAATGATGATTTACTTTGACTTGGAACAGTGGGCTCTGGATTATCATAAGGAGAATGAATCTAGCTTCAGCAGCTTGATGCTGTTTGTCCCCAGTATCATCTATGCTGTTGTGATTGAAATTATGAACCGTATCTATCGGTATGCTGCTGAATTCTTAACCTCATGGGGTAAGAAACTTATTTATTCTTCCTCCTTTTGCATAAAAACGTAGCATCTCAAATGTTTAGGATTTATGCCTTGGTAGAGTACATTTCTGTGAGTTCTTGTTCACTGGAATGCTAAAGAGATTTCCTGCAGTAGATTTTTGTAATGGGATAAAAGAGAGGGCTGTTTTAACTTACATTTCTTATTTCCAGTGTTCTGAGGCTGCAGTTTCATGTTTGATTTAATTTGATTTGAGTCTAGGCTGCCAACAGGAGGGGTGATCGTGCGTTCCTGAGTCTCCCTCTGCCTCCGATACAGAAGTCCACCTTCCCTGATTTTGCTTTGTGTGTGGCTATATTAGCCATAGCGTTGACAAAAGGGAAGAGGTCAGAACGTGAGGGTGGACATTCAGAGCTGGATGGCAAGAGAGGCTGTCCTGACAGCTCACATCCAGTGGTGGTGTTCAACTACAGTCTAGGTTTGATGAACACATCTTAGTCTACTGATATATCCATGGAGAGGACAGAGGCACTAAGATAATAGCACAAATCTAAAAACGTGAACTAAATTGTCATAGGAGGGTTTGTGTGTATATGATACACGTGTTAAAGACCAACATTTCACGTCCCTATTAAAAGATTTTCCATTGGGCACTCTCAGAAGAGCAGTGTTTCAACAGCTTGTCTTTTTTCTCTGTGCACGTGATTTATATATAATAAATTGGGTCTTAGGTTTTGTAATCAAGCATAACCATAGTGAAATGTTAGCGTTTATTTTGAATCTTAACACTTCTATGGATGTATGTGCTCAACGTCAGAATGAGTTAACAGATGAAGCTAAGGGGCTTTTAAATGGTTTATATAGCTCAGTATGGCATACGCTTACAGGGCAGAATCCAGATCATTGAAGCTGGAGACCCAGGAAATCACCCTAAGAAAGATTAAGCAAAAGGGAGATGAGTATAGAAGACAAAATGAAAAGAAGTTTTGAAGCAGGATTAGTTACACATGCCAAAGTGATTTGCTCAGCAAGTTGAACTTGACAGCAGCCATAGTAAAAGGAAGCAAGCTCTTGATTTGTTTATGACTGTCCAAAGGTTATTATTTTAACAATGACTTATAGAGTCCTGTGTAGGTTTCAGCTGACTGCCTTGTTTCATTTCTTTTATTATATTGCAAGGAAAAGCCTTTGTGCAAAATGCCAAGTTGTGCTGATCAGGCAGACTGAAATGCCTTGAACAGGTAACCAAGTTAGCTTGGGATATCAAAAACGGTAGTCCTGTTAATGTGGCATCCTACCCAAGGCAGTTGGTCTCTATTTTATTGCTTAATAACTTGGTAGGTGCACTGTGATAGAATGCCTGTACTGATTCTGACACCTGAGATTGCTCTGACTGCAGTTTCACCTACAGAAATGAGCTAATTTAACAACTTGTCCTTACTGATAAGGGGAGGTCCCATTTTTAAGCTTTTTCCTTCTTTCCTTCCTTTCCTTGCTCCTGGTTGCATGCTTCTAACTTACTGTTGGCTCTGGTGTTTGTCAGACTCTTCTGTGCATCATGTTCACCTTGAGAAAAATTACTTGGGGGAGAGTAGAGGGTAAGAAAGGGAAAGTTAGTTTTCTCTTGAGTTCATGATTTGGGTTGGCTGATAGAAATGTTTGACAAGTGCTACAGTTAACAACAGGAGATGTGCAAGTTGAGAGCAGGCGATTTGAGTGAAGAACTGTTGTCAGGAAGAAAATGAGAGGGGCTTTTTCCACTTCTGGCAGTGGAAATGAATCAGGTTGGTTTAAATGTTTGCGTACTCTCTACTTGTTGCTCTGTTTGACATTCCACCCTGTCCTTGTAAGCGTGCTCCAGGGGCTGAAGGCCTTTGGGGGCTTGCGATGTAAGGTTAAGGGGAAAATACAGTCAGTTTGTCACACTTTGCAACAAGTTAACAAGTCTACCAGTTGACTTTGGTTCAGATCAAGTTGAGCAGAGAGGCAGATTATATTCTCTTGGGCCTGTGTAGGGTGAAACTCTTGTTATTTTTTTGACTGAGCATCTAGCTGTATTGGGGCCATCATGCACTAGAGCACTTTTTATTTTTTCCTTTGGAGTTAAACTGCTGTTACAAGCTTTTTTATGCAGCTTGCTGCGCTGACAGCTTGTTCTTCTGTGCTATCCAGTGTGTTTATGCTTCCATGCTGTGAACAGGTTGACGAGCTCATCTGGCTGCCCCACATCTCCTCCCACCTGGCCTATTTTCAGCTAAGATCTGGCCTATACAGCTAAACTGGTAAAGCATAGGAAAGAGTCTGGTTATGGGAGCAGGTGACTGGAGGAGCTGCAGGATCTGCTGATACTTTATTGCTACTGAAGACATGCTCATTGAATCACTGACTTGGTTTGTGGATTTGAAAGGCCCGGGTATTTTTAAGCATACCTCTTGCACCCATTTATTATGAGAAGCTATCATTAAGTGGAAGCTAAACATATAAATCCCATTCAGTCTCTTGAGAGCATCTTCCATGTGTCAGGCCCAACTTCTCTTTATCAGAGATGAACTCTGCTGTTCTGCCCTGAACAAGATTAGTAGGCAACAATCTCTTTTTCAGCCCTGTTGACATAGCTGAAGTTAATATGCTGTCTCCTCATTCAGTTACTGTTTAGGCAGGGCCTTAAAGGTGTGATCTGACAAAAGAGCAGAAAGAAATAGGCAATCATCCCTCATTCACTTCCCACTCCTCCTTCCCCACCTACCTCCCTGCAATAACTTCCCCCTTAAAACATCAGCATTTCACGTTTATCTTGAATGAACTGAAGATCTTAATTTTATGAGTAGTGGATCTGCTGAACTTTGTGATTTAGTCTTGCTTTGAGACTTAGGGGTTTCAAAGTCCTTGGAAATGAGTGGGAAGATTTCTGTGAACTTCTGTGGGGTTTGAATCAGATCCTGTATTGTTATTTTTCGTAATGTATTCTGATTAGTTTTGCATTTGGTTTCAGCCAAAGAAAAATAAATGACCAGTCACAATTTATTAAGCGTTAAGAGTATTCAACTGTTTTTCTGTTATAAAACAGCTGCCCTGAGTAAGAAAGATGTTGTAAAAGGGAAAGGCTTTGCAGTAGGAAAAGGTGGTATGTCAGTATTGTGCATCAGATGAACTTGACAGGTTAAGTGAGGTACTGGTACAGCATAAATTCTTTTCCCAATGAAATGTTGCGGGAATGATTCCCTATAAACTATCACTTAAATAACTTCTAGACAGGGGAAAAGTACCTGTTTGCTTTTTTGTATAACTTGGTGTCAATATATGTGCATTTACTGTTTACTAATTAATAATTTTGTTGATATTTTAGAAAATCACAGGCTGGAGTCTTCATATCAGAATCACTTAATTCTGAAGGTTTTAGTAGTAAGTATGTAGTATTAGCAGCTTTTACGGATTATTTAAAATGAGAACTTGTGATATGCTGTGTTAGTGCTTTCCTAGCATTCCTTCTCTGATCTATGATTTTGTGTAACCCCGAATACTAGCATAAGCATCAGAGTAAACTGAATTTCTGTTGCACTTCCAGTAACTTTTGGACTGTTTTGGATGTCTCTCTTTATAGTGGGGAGCTGGGTTTTTCTTTGTTTTTGTTTGTTTGTTTTGGGATTTTTTTGGTTTATTTTCTTCCAATATTGTAAGTTGAGATTCTTTCATTAGGATTCTGAGTATGTAAGTTTTTCTGTTAATTGATGTGATCCTGGCTTCAAATGGGAACTCTTCCTTGCAGTTTTTACAAGATGTTATGGAAACTCTATTGTAAAAAGTTTATGCATTAACTTCTACCTGTAGTAACATTCAGACACCCAGTGAAAGGAGGCTGGATATACATCTCTCAGTCTGCAGCTATGTAATTTATACTATATAGTGATCTGTTTACTTTGTGGCTCGGAGAAAGTTGCTTGTGTGTGTGTGTATAAGTGTGTATATATGTATGTCTGGTTGCTATTTTAGGTGTATATCCAGTTGCAACACTAATTCTAAGGAACTGTATTGTAAATCCTGAGTTTCCATGTAAGATTTTTGGCAGAAGAAGCTGTAAAGATTGGCTGATTTGGAGACTATCCTCTCTGTCTGTTCTGGAAAGATTGTGTAACTCTGTTTTCAAATTCCTTTTTTTAATTTCTTTTTTTTTCCCCTCCACTTTTTTCCCAAAGTTTGCTTTTTTGGGAAATTTTTGAAGTGTCTTATTTAGAAAATTATCTGTTTGATGAACCTTTTGTCACTGGTAACCTCTAGAGGTGAAGCTCTTGTATGTTTCATTTAAGCTTTGCCTCCACTTGCCTTTCTGAAAAAATAACACAATTTCTTGTTCCCATAGGAAATTTATAAAAAATAATTTGAATTCTTAAATTATAAAATGTCAAGTATAAGTGCTGATTTTTCATTTTGGCTTTGCAAGAGTGTTTTTCTGCACTCAGAAATAGTATCTCTGTTGTCTATACGCTCCAGAAAAGGAGCTTCAGCACTGCTAGCAATTAGGAAGAGTTTTCTCCCACTTCAGAGCTCGATTCTGATTTTCAGGTACCTTCTGTGATATTTAAAAGTAGAGAATGTTTCTCTTGGTCATAAAACCTCTTGAAGTGAATAAACATAATATGCAACTAACATATATTGAGAGACAGTTGTACATATTAAGAGATGAATCATCCAACAAGTATGTTTTGATAAAGTATTTCCTTGGAAAAAACATCAGTCTAACTTAAGACCACGCATGTCCGTTTTATTGCATTGCTTATGGGGAAACTGCCAAAAGTTAAGTAGATGGTGACAGGTATTTTTAATATTCACATTTCGTAATTGAAATGTAGTTCAGGAGAGCATTAAGCTTACCTACAGAAAATATGAACAGGAGAAATATCAAAAATGAGATTTTTCTCACCTAAATTTTAAAAATGGTAAAGACATTTTTTAATGGACAATTTATATTTGCATGAAAACTTTTAGTCAAGGTAACTCTCAAGTTAGATGATGTTCTGTATTTGTTGTCAGGCCATGAACTTTTGCTTGAGTAATAATAACAGATATTTTTATTTGCAGTTCAACTTCTTAAATTGTTTTGCATCTCTCTTCTACATTGCTTTTGTGCTGTTTGATATGAAGCTTTTGAGACAGGTGAGTTCCAAGAATGTCTAAGAACACTGGTGCATCTAGGAAGATAAAGAATTGACTTAAGTTTTAGGACTTGATTTTCAGTTGTTTTTCTAAATATATATGATATATTCATTGTCAAGTTAATATTTTCATAAAAATGCTATTTCCATATTGTAGTTCCGTTTGCACAGTCGCAGAAGCATAACACAACAATGTAGAACAATTTTTTTCCTCCATATAAATGAGGAATTATTTTCAAATTAATTGATCATTACCTCATACAGATGAGGCTGGAAAATTTGCATTTCCCCATTCGTTCTCTTTACATTAGAAAATTGTTTTCTCTGTGATGCTCTTCCTGAGACACTGATTACGTTTACATCTACAACAAGGAGTTGAGAATAAACAAGAGGAAAAATAATTTGTAGTCAATATTTAAAATTTCTGTTGTTAACATCTTTTAACTCAAATGCATGAAAATGAAGGAAGGAAAAAATTTTTATTCTAAATATAAATGAACAAAGCAACAAGAACTGCAGCTCAAGAGCCGTGTTCCTCTAAAGAGATCTCCAGCAAAACTGCTATCAACCAGACGTGTAATTGCCTGCACTTTATGGTAAAAAGCAAGAGGAAAAGATATTAAAAGAAGAAATTCTAAGTTTTTGTTTTATACTTTCCAAGGAGCATCCTTTCTTCCCAAGAAACCTAAAGAGCTTTTTATTTTACTTCTGATTTTCTTTAAAAAAAAAAAAAAAAAAGGCAGTCTGTTTCCTGCATCGTACTGTCTGAAATTAATTTTGTCTTATTTTTTAATAATCCTCTCCGTTTTCCCATATACTTTCCAAGACTCTAGACAGTGATTATTCCTTTGTTATAAGAGATATAATTTCTCTTACTTTACAGATTAAGCTCCTTGTTTAATTCTGTTATTATTGTCGCTATGTGTATACCTTTATTCTTCATTCTTCATTGAACTTTGTAGAAGCTGGAAGCTTAGACCCAGATTCACAAAATTTTTAGGCATCTAACTCCTATTTAGTCCTTGTCAGCATATAGCAAAGAGCAGGAACTAGAGCAGCTGTTCTTATCATATGCTATTGCCATATTTTGATAGAATGGTCTGCTTTTGTCATACTATAACAACTTACAGCATTATGGAGATGCACAGAATTTTAAATGATGATAGGTTTATCACAGATATATTAATTTTTTTCTTATTTTTTATTTTAAGAGCTTGGCCACTTTGCTGGTAACTTCACAGATCCTTAATCAGTTTGTAGAAGCCTTCCTTCCGTACTGGCTACAAAAGAGGCATAAGAAGAGGATGAAGAAGAGAATGTATTCTCAGAAAACAGACATGGACCTTTCTTTAGTTGAGCAAGTCAACTTGGAAAAAGAAATGGGCACCTATTTTGTACGTTGCTTATATGTTGTTACAGTACAGGTTGTTAGATTGCCGGTTGCTGAAAGGTAGCCTCAGGTTAATTCTAGGTAGCTGCACTGTGGTGCTTTGTAATAGAACAAGCTATTTCATTTTTGAAGGGAGTTTGAATATGTGATGAGAACGCTTTGGGTTTTGGGCAGTAATCATAGGACACGCTTTAGAAACAAAGAGCAGAACACAATAAGGAATTGTTTGCTTCTCGTTATAAGGTAGGATAGCAGTTTTTGTTTCTGAAATGTTTCATCGCTTCTGTCAGTTCTTTGGTATAAGCTGCTCTTCTGGAGACACCTTCTAATGCCGAAATTATCTCTTGCAAGGGAAAGTCCAATGTCTTTCTCTTTGGGTGGGACTGTGTGATTCAATACTTCCCAATTAAATTTCTTTGTGACATCTCCCGAATGCCAACTGTGGCGCTTACTAGGCTCAGCAGGGTAGGGAGGTTTAAGAGTTTCTGTTCTATAATATATGAGCATTTATAGACTTCTGTGAAACAAAATTTATTCTGTTGTACTCAGCAGTATATGCTAGTCAAGGCATTGTATTAAAATTGCAAACTTATATATTCCTATCAGAAGGAATTCGTTGTTTTTAAGACTTAGCAGCTATAAATTTAGTTTCCTCCTTGTTGCGATCCACAAAATGTTAGGACATAATTGCATTGCCCTATTAACACTGATAATTTCTCTCAGAAAATATATTTCTCAGTAAATTATCATCCCTCCACCCTCTACCTAATGTTTTGAATTCTGTTTTGGGATTTTTTTGTGCTTTTTTGGTGTTTACCCGACTGCGTGGAATTCATTCCTTACTTTTCGATAGGAGCTGACAAAATGGACGTCAGTACGTATGTTAAGGCCCTGCAAACTGACTGACTGACTTGCTTTTTCAGGTGCTGCAAGCATAGTCGTAAGAGTTTTAAGACCGTGTTTTATACTTTCACAGAATAGGAATTATATGTAAATAGCATACATTTTATGTAAAAGGTGGAGAATAGCACAGTTTGGAATTTGTTTTTAATGTCCTATCAGATTCCTATCTTCCTGCCATGAAATGGGAAGAGGAAAAAGAAATACTACCCTTGCAGCTGAAAAATTGTGCAAACATTAATACTTTTATTCTGCTGGGAGTGTTGGTACTTCTTATATTTTGTACAGGAGGAAATAGATTTAGAGACAAGGAGCATATCTGTATCTCATAATGAAGAATATAACAGAAATCCCCAAGCTAGCGTCTATCTGAACTGGCAAATCGGCACAGTCCAGCACTGTGCCATGCAAATATACCAGCACAGGTTCAAAAGGTGTGTATTGGAATTTGGCTTTGATTATACCTCACCTAAAAAGCTGTACCTCTTAGACCTGAGCTAACTTCTGATTCTTAGTTGGCGTATACAAAGCGAGCATGGTGTCCTTGGGTCACGTTGCCTCGTGCTTCTTGTGCAGAGCCTGGTCAAATATATCTGCACCTATAGTATAGTCATGCCCGAGTAATTTTTTTGAGGGGACACAACAGGTCAGTAGTAGAGTTTTGACTTGGCCTTTGAAACATCCACTTCTAGACTTAGTTTTAGTACAAGTACTGTGTATTCAAGGCCTTAATTATATTTTTAATCAGAAGAGTTTAATTGCACTGTGCTTGTGAGCAGGAAGTATAAAACCACAGTTTTGTTCTCAAGCAGTGAGCTATCAGCAGGTAATAGTATTTCTAGGATTACATCTGTCACAAGGGGGAAGCATTTGACTATGTTTAGTAACTGATGTTTGCAGGCATCTTGACAGAATTCTGTATTTCAGTCTCTTCTCCTTCCTTTTCTTTTACTTCCTTCGTTTACTCTTCAACATTTAGTTTTCTTTTTTACATTTGTCCCTTTTCTCCCTTACTTCTCAAATTTCTCCAGGCCTTAACCCTGCTTAAGATGTGAAAGCTTCATCCAATAGTCCTCTTTTTTTTTTTTTTTAATCGCTGCTTCTCTCCTATCATTTTTTCCCTGAGTTTCTTTTATTTTGTTTCCTTCTTGCCATAGTTTGCTATGTGCTTCTCTTGCGGCTGGGAGAAAGAGAGAACAGGAGGTTGATAATAGCACAGTTTGAATTTTTTTCTTAACATCGGATCAGACTCCTCTTTTTGTGCATAAAGTGCCATAAATTCATTAAGGGAAAGAAACACTCCTGTTCTTTCTGTGCTCTGCTGTGTTGAGAGTCATTGATATGTACTGGGCAAGGAAATGAAAAGAAATAAGGGAGGAAGCAGTAGGAGTACTCTGCAGTTTCCGAAAGGAGGAGTAGAAGGGGAAGCTTTGCTCTTTGTCTGCAGCATATGTCTGAGAAAATAACAGCAGGGACAAATATGTGACTGCCACTCCAGTGAATGATCCTGCATAAATGTCCTTAAGGAAGACCTAACTAAAATTCAGAGTTTATAGAAAACATTTCTGTGGAAAAATCTAAATGGTTTTAAAAGTTCGGTAGCTTCTCAAGGTCTAGCCTGCAGATCAGTTTATCAGACCCAGCTATATAATGCAATTTGAAAGTGAGCTTGACTGTAGAATGCAGCTAATGACAACTCCCAACTTGTGTGCGCTGTTTTTTGAGCTTGCAGGCTTCTACTGCTTCTACTGCTTCTGTTTGCTGAAGAAAGAGCACTAGATGCTGGACGTGGCAGACAGGTTAACAGAAAGAATCACAAAAAAATCAGTTAAAAAAAAAAAAAACAACTGAAACCAATTTTATGTAGTGCCTGTAAGAATCATCATTAAAATGAAGTCTTTGCTTTTAATATTTCATTTTGAAAGAGAGGAAAATGTGTGGGTCTATGGGAATGACAAAATAGCTGGATCCCAGTTTAGCTCATTGATGGTATTTCACCAGCCAGAAAAGCATTTATGATTCCTGTGTTCAACAAACACTTTTTCTTTAAAAATGAGTTTTGTTCATTAGTTTTGTAAGTTAATTGCTGCAGTCAGGGAGAATTAGTATTAATACTATAGAACAAATACGTGAATGTGTCTTATAACCTACATGTGAATACTTAACTCAGCGGTTAAGTACCCACATTCTTAGTTCAAAGATCAGCTGATAGATGCTTTGCAGATTTGCTAGAATAGTGATTTTTGTTGGCGTTCGTTATTTTTAGATGTCAGTGCTGTATTCTGTCATTCCAGCCTTCAAGTGGGCAACTACTTTGGATCAATCATGTTGAAATAAACAAGCAGAAATACCAGAAAGGAGTTTTCTGTCTACCAACCTATCTTTCCGGTTAGGTCTTTCATGGACAGTCTGAAATATTCAGACTTTTCTCATTGCATTGCTATCATGAGAATGTTCTGCCAGTTTAAATATATGATGCTGTTTTCCTATCCAGCAGCATACTTTCAATAACTGTTTCGCTGAGCTACTCAGGAGCTTGAATAGATGAATCTGTTTGTACAGTTACTTCGTATAAGGATAATAGTTTTAATAGTGCAGAAAGTGCATTAGACAAAAGGAAAAACTCTGGCCTCCATTTTCTTGGAGTTTTAGGATAATTAAATAATTCCAAATTAATTAGAGGTAGTATATTTTGTTTTCTGCTACCAGTCACTTGAAAAAACTGATTTGGGGTGAGGAAGCTTGCATATGACCGTATTCTTAATTCTGCTTTTTTCATGTTTTTGATGTAGGTAAAAGGTCTTATTATTTTTGCTCTCTTTTTCAGGGTACTTTTGATGATTACTTGGAGTTGTTCTTACAGTTTGGCTATGTGAGTCTTTTTTCGTGCGTTTACCCATTGGCAGCTATCTTTGCAGTGCTAAACAACATCACAGAGATATATTCTGATGCCTTAAAAATGTGTAGAGTTTACAAGCGTCCGTTTGCAGAACCCACAGCGAGTATTGGTGTTTGGCAGGTAACCTTTGTTTTTTTAAAATTTTTTTTTGATTCATTTATTTTAAGTGAGGTTTCACCAAATATGTTTATACTATGTGTTTGACCCACCAGTGACTTTTAAACTTTATTAGGATACTCTCCAACTGTGCTGATTTTTACAGAGTTTTTGATCACGTGCCATTTTCAATTGCCTTTGAAAAAGAAAACAAATCCTTTCTTTAGTCCCTGTATGTGTATATATTGTACTCCTGTTTCAATTGTAAGATGACAAAGCTGCCAGATACTACGAGGTACTCTTTGCAGCCTATGTAATTTAAAGATGGTAACCTTTACGTAGACTCAGAAGCATGGAGATCAGCAAGGGTTTAAACATTTGAAAGTAGATAGGTAAGTGTGCTTAAGCGATACTGAGGTATGTGCTCTTTTGTGGTTACTTAAGCTAGCTAACTTTAATCTAGCTTGGATCTGTGAGCAGGAGCTATACTTTTGACTGCATTATAGGCACAGCCTGAAGATGCAGTCTTTCTAAACAATTTCATGCTGGTAGTGCTAGGTTAAGGATTTTCTGTTACCAGTTGTTTGCTCCTGTAGTCAGTCAGGCTGATACTGACTAGTTTGGGGCCCAATGAGTGGACTGCATCAGTGAACCAGTTCAGACTGAAAATAAACCTGCAAAACCTTTCCAAAACCAGAGGTGTTTCTGACAAGAAAAAGAATATTTAAATCATATCCAGAGACTTTAGTGTCCTGTAATAGCAGTGGCCTGATAATGAGTGTGAAGTGGGTTGGAGGAGACATCTGGGGGATGATCCACGTTCTAGTTTTGCTTAACAACTTTTCTAACGATATGTAATGGAGACAAAGGGCACAATAAGCTTTCCTTAATTTGGAGATGTTCTAGATGTTGGTAGCAAATGAAACAACTGGAAAATAACAAAGGTGAAGTCAGGAAACATTAAATGAAACATGTATCGTAAAAAATGCAAACTAATTATTCTAAACAATGTTAATTAGACAGGTACATAGATGTTCATGAAGTGGAATTATAGCAGAAGCCTTTTAATATTAAAAGTCATTAAAATGTATATATAAAAACCTGATTGTGTTTTAACATCTTATGCATTTTGTCAGTCCAAGTCTATGCTGTCAACATCCTGATGGCATAGCTATATTTACCAGAGGTGTGATCACCAGTTTAATGAGGCTATGGTTGTAAAAGTCCCAAATATAGCTGCAGGTATGTTAGCAGTGTTTAGTTTTGCTAGTATAGCTTTTTTCAGTCTAGGGAGCAGGTTGAAAAAATTGTTTAAAAAAAAAAAAGATTAAGACTGTCAAGCTTTTTCTTTGAAGGGGGTAGATTTTTAACTAATAGTAGAGATGCATTTGTTTTGTGAATAAAAACAATAACATAAAATTTTACTAATTTTTTTATGCGGGCAGCAGAACTTAGGATGTTGGCTAAAGGATTTCTGTTAAGGGGATATGGGAGTTATTTTATCAGGTGAGCTGAGTCTGCACTTTATTGTCAGGGCAAAAGTTGCTTCTGCTAATTCCTTGTGACGATCATTACGTTTTAATGTCAGTCTTGTTCCAGAGAGGTCCTTGGGATAGGTAACCATTATATTGCAGTAGTAGTTGTCATATTGCAGTAGTATTTTTCAGGCATTTGTGGGCTCTGTAGACAAGAGCATCTGAGAGTTTTAAGACCTGATAAGAATCAATTCAACATAGGCAACCTTTACTGTTTAAAAAATAAATAAAAATAGCATGCAGATTCGATACTTTGGCACTAATCAGTTACATACCTCACTGAGCTCTTCAGGAAGGTTCTTGATTAGTACAAACATACTCATGCAATTGCATGCACTTAAGTGTAACCTATTCTTCCAAACAAATTCCAACTTGTAGAACTGTGATTTAAGAAACATATTCTGAACTATCCTTGCATCTTCCTCTTAATATTCAGCCAAAACCTCCAAAAATGCTGGAACTAATGCGGGACTATTAGTTCCTTTTGGAGTTTTGCATTTTAAAAGACATTTTTGTTCAAGAATACAACTGCAGATGAATGCACAACCTTTTTTATCTTGAGTCATGAAGTTCCTAAGGATAAAATTGCCTTCTGACCTACTTTTTTCCTTTGGATTATTCCTGATTTTTCAGGAAGTTATTTGACATTACCTGCACCTAGGATGTTAATGGTCTCTAAATAACTTCTCAAGGCCTTTACATACTATGAGATTGTGAAAGAATACTGTTCACCTTCTTCGCAGCATGCATACGTGTGCGTACACACACACGCACGCACACAGACACCTAATTGGAGGAAGAACTCAGGGTTCCAGGTGGGCTTTGTAATATTGTAGAACTTGTTTTGATCTTGCCCTTGCTGGTTCTCAAGGCTGACAAAGTCTGGACCGATTGAACGAATCCTATATTATAGAAGTCAAAGGATTAAAGAAAGGAAAAAGTTAAAGTAATGGGCCTCCTGGGGATTTGAAGAACAGAGAGAGATTTTTCCAGAGCAATTTGGAAACTGGTAAGTTAGAGATGATGGTCATAACTACACTCTAATTTTGCTTTATTTCAGCTGGCTTTTGAAACTATGAGTGTCATATCAGTAGTTACTAACTGCATACTAATTGGAATGTCTCCACAAGTGAATGCCCTTTTCCCAGACTCAAAAATGGACCTCATTTTGACTGTGGCATTGGTAGAGGTAAGTGTGACTTCAAATATGTAAGTGTGACTTAAATACTGTATATGTGTTAGTAGCAAGTAACTTTTACAACAGTTGAAATTAAACTGGGCAATAGATTAGTTTTTGTCCATTAAAAATAAATGAAAATTTCACTATCAAAGTAGTATTGCAAGGTCTTTCTTTTTAATATTCTGTGTTTTGTGTGTTCTCATGTAGTGTGAGCTGTTGTTACCATACTTTTTCATACATTCCTAAAATACTGTGTATTTGTTGCTTTATGTATTTCGAGAAGAATTTAAGGTGTAAACTGGATGTTTCTCTGTTTAGTCTGTGACCCCAGTATATCTATAGGGATCCTTCTACATCAACCTCATAGTTGTTCTCTAAGGCTTATCAAAAACAGGTGCACAATTGGAGATTAATTTATCTCTCTTGAAAGTGGAACCTGTGTGGTCAGCTTCAAAGCCTTCAAGATGCGTTTCTAGAAGTTACCAGCAAATCTATGAAATGCTAGTACTTATTTGGATGTATGTTTAGTAGTTGATGTAAACACAGTATTACTGAAGTCTGTGTATGGTGTCTATAAATACTTGTAACAGCATTTGGATTTTGTCTTTTCTTGATTCTATGCAGTAAACACTTTTGAATGTCGTTCTCAGACTTGGAGGGATGAATGACTGTAGGCATTCTATGTGATAACTGAAATCATAGGACTTTGTCCTTATGTGTCTTTTGGAACTTTCTTGTATTGCATTACCTTGACTTTAAACGTTAAGCTTGTTGTTTAGCTATTAGGAATTGAATTACTTGTGACAAAATCTGGGTTGTCTATGTGTAGTTTCTGAATTGCCTTACAGAGGTCTCTCTAGCAGGAGCACATAAGAATTTTTTTGTTGTAGGTGTTACAAGGTTATGCAAAGAATTACGAGCTTGCTTTGAATTTTACTTTCCAAGCTTTAGGCTTTGCAGAGTTAACTCTGAAAATATGAATCACATGTCAATTGGTTTACTGAAGTTTAAGTCTGCAGACAACCTGATATATTTGTATATCAGACGTGTGAACATTTGCATTAAACTGAATGAGGTATTCAATAGAAAACTAATTTGGGCAATTTAAAGGTAATGTTATAATTAGTTCATTGATGGAGAGCTTATCCAGAGAGATTATATTATGAAAGTTGTATGACTAAATGTAAGTGGAGTTTTGTTTTAATGTCAAGCAGGCTACTGAGCTTGTGGGTAGACCTGTGGTTCTTGGTAGGCCATAGGAGAATACCAATATTTTTCTCTCCAAATTTAAATCCTGCTTATATGCACTTCTTTAGAGGATAGGGCTTGCAGCATGGTGATTCTGTAGCTCTTGGAATTCCTTTTTGATATCATATCTCAAAAAAAGTTATCTATAAAACTTATGGAATGGAGGAGAAAAAGGAATAAATGAAGAGAAAAACCTTTGAAGAGAAAAGCTGAATTAGTACTGAGAGGAAGAAAGACAAGAATGTTGTCTCAGATATCTAGAGGCAATCTTGGAGAAGACCACCAGTTTAGAAATGACCACACTGTATGAAGGGACAATGGAGGCTGATGCTGGATGAGCCAGTGCAGAGGAGGGGAAATGCTGTTTCCTGAGGGAAAACAGCCATTTAGTTAAAGAGAAGTCAAGTTTCCTCTTACTTTTCTCCTCAGTAAAAATAAACCTCATGATGTACCCATCAGAAAAGACAGATTTTAAAGAATAGTTTTAATAAAGAATCACAGAATAGTTGAGGTTGGAAGGGACCTCTGGAAATCATCTAGTCTAACCCCCCTGCTCAAGCAGGGTCCTCTAGAGCACATTGCCCAGGATTGTGTCCAGGTGGGTTTTGAACATCTCCAGGGAAGGAGACTCCACTACCTCTCTGGGCAACCTGGTCCGGTGCTCTGTCACCCTCACAGTGAAGAAGTTTTTCCTCATGTTCAGACGGAACTGCCTGTGGTTCAGTTTGTGCCCGTTGCCTCTTGTCCTGTCACTGGGCACCACGGAGAAGAGTCTGGCCCCATCCTCTTGACACCCTCCCTTCAGATACTTGTACACATTGATCGGATTGCCTCTCAGTCTTCTCTTCTCCAGGCTCAACAGGCCCAGCTCTCGCAGCCTTTCTTCAGAAGAGAGATGCTCCAGACGTATCGTTGCAATTACCATATGCTCTTTTAAATTATATTACTGTTTTATGTTGTTACAAGCTATTTATTAATGTTTTTGTATTATTACAAGCTACTTATTGTCTGAAAAACACAAGACTGCTTAAAAATCTGATAGTGCCGTTTAGGGATGCGCTTTTCAGCATCGTAAGTCATGTGATTTCAGAATGTTGTTCATTATAAACAATTCCAGAACTGTTAAGTATGAAAGTTAGAGCTATGCAAGTCACCTGAGGGACAACCTTTCAGTATATTTTAAAACTTTCAATATTTTACAACTTCACATTTTTTTTTTTTAAGAGTCAGATGATAATATAGGACATAACATTTTGTAGTAAGTTTTGTTTCACAAGTTATGAAATGCATAGAGTTTTTGCAGTTCAAAAGAGTTTGCCCAAGTGAAACAAATTTTATATGTAAATTTTATTTCTAAAAATGTATGAAAATGAACACAAGCATGATTTTCACTTCTATTGAAAATAGTTTCCATTATGTTGACAATTAAACATGTTCTTAGTTACCAAAATGAAATATTTTTTATCAGTAGTCATGCTGTACATCTTTTCAGGTTAAAACCCTTCTTAAAGTTAGAAAGAAGGGAGAATGAGAGATCACAGAATCACAGAATCGTTTAGGTTGGAAGGGACCTCTGGAGATCATCTAGTCCATCCTCCCTGCTCAAGCAGGGTCAGATGCTGTGGTCTTTGATCAGTCTCAGCAGCAACATGGATTTATGGCAGCTTAAAGAAATAGGAAGCAGAGGCAAAAATAGCCCTAGGTATTTATTTCTATTGTATATATTATGTTCCCCCTATCCTTTGTCTGCTGCATGATGAACTAGATTAGGTAACTGACCTGGGAGAAGTTGCCTGATCCAGTTCACCGGCAAAAGGGAGCAAAGCTGAAACAACTGTGTGTGGAAGACAGTACTACCCTTTTTGGTAGTGTGGTGAGTTTAGGCTGGGTTCAACTAATGGGACTTGAGCACCGCTGTCTTCCTCTAGCTGAAATAATGCTTATGGGAGAAAAATCCCTAAACTAGGGGAGGAGTGCAAATCTTATATATTGGCAGTATTCCCATACACCTTTACTATCTTTATTAATGATTAAAGCTATACATTTCAGTAGTAAAAAGGAACTGATGAATAGAACACAATACACTGAACCTCTAGTACAAGCCTGGTGCATCTAAATATGCCAGTGTCTAGGTAGAAGAACATTCTGTTCGTAGGGAGTGTGTTGATGTGCCAGGGCATTGAAACAAAAGCATTTGAGATCACTTTGTAGAGATTCTGCACAGAAATACATGATTAATATAGCTATATTTTACTTTCTGGTATCTGCTGCAGATGGAATGAGAATTTTGTGGTGTGTTAATCTATGCTGACAACAGTTTGGAAGGCAGTGTGAAAAAGTTAAGGAATACAAGTGTGTTGTGGGGTTTTTTTTTTTTTGGTAGGTTATGCATTGCTTTCACATATTCAGCTGATGGGACAGATAGCCTACTTGAATCTTAACTGTAACTAAATATTTTTATTAGGTTTTAAGTAAATGGGACTCCAGCTGAATATTTATATCACTACTTGATTAAAAGCTAAAAAGTAAAAAGTACATTTTTTTTTCTTGTTTACCAGAGCCAAGCATTGGTAACAGCATTATTCATATTTCAAAAAAATAGTGCTTTTTAATAAGAATACTCATACTCTTCAGATGGAGATGCTTGTTTGTGTTGCATTATTTGACATTGTTTAGCACAACATCATGAAGAACTGCTTATGATAATTTTGTAAACATTCTATATCCACCCATTACGGATTTATGCAAAATAAATTTTCTACATTAAAAAACATTTAAATTTAGTGCCGTTTCCACTTTTTGTGGGCATACATATTGTGTCACCACAGTAAGAGTTAATTAAATAAAATAATCAATTCATAAAAATAATGTTAAAAAATAACAATAATTTTTGAAGTGTTGAAACAGTGTTGTTTTTTGTACGGTTGACCTATTTTCATCAATCCAATATATACTTCCGTGACAACATAATTTGAACTAGGAGCAGAATCATTAAGCTCCCCTCTTTTACTTACAGATGGATGCTGAGTGCAGCAAGTGCAATTTTCAAACAAAGGAGTAGGTGCATGTCCTTAAAGCAGGAAACAATAAGCCCTTATTAACAATGTTTTTTAAATAGTTACATCCCATAGTGCCTTTATATCTTCTAGGGTTTTTTGCCTCTATCATAGATGCATATTTTGGAGTGAAGCACAGATGCAAAGTGGGACGTTCCCAGCAAGCAAATGGCTGTGCTCATGTGAAACTATTCCCAGTCACTTCTTGACTTCTTACATGAATGTGGAAAAATAGCGGAAATGATTCTGAAGTAGTATGATGAATGGTTGAGCGGGTGAGTTGAAACAAACTGTGACTGTAATTGTGCAGTGCTGTTCTCTCTCGCACTCTCGTGCTTGCGCTCTCGTATTGTCCACATTGGGCTTATTTTTATTAACTATTTTTTTCTAATTTGCACTCAGATATTTGAAGAATGCTAATTAAATCCATTTCAAGACTGCTGTGAAAGTTGAATCCAAGAAATCAGTTGTATATACAACTATTAGTATTAATTTTTAAAAAAATAATCCTTTAATAGGTGTGTTGTGAAGCAATGGCTGTAAAGCATAACTTTACATGAGCATATCCCAGTCTCCAAATGTGACTTTTCATGTATCCCGCAGTCAAATGTAGTAAATTGGAAAGCTTTTGTGCAGAGGTGGACTTGGTTCTTTCACATCACATCCAGGCACTTGGGAATTAGCTTGGAAGTATTAATAACTGAG